ATTAAGGAAAACTGGTTAAATCAGATAGAAGCCTTGCGAATATTACACTGCACATGTTGCACATTTTATATGTATATAAATGTATAGTATGTATACTACTTATCTTTTATATATACATATACATGTATAGTATGAATACTGTGTATCCTATGACATTGTATACATCCTACATAGTATATGTATACTACATGTAGCATATATACTATGATACTACAGGTATAATATATTCATAATCAAGGCACTTTATATATATTATATCATCCAATGATCACAATACTCCTAACAGATACTCCTTATCGTCTTCCCCACCTTTTAAAGAAAACATCTCCATGGAGAAGAACCTTGCTCCATGTTAAGCAGCTACTGAGTGACAGAAACAGTTTGGAACTGAGGCCTATTTTGCTCAAAAGTTCACATCCTCTATGGCTTCAGTCTATACTGGCTACTATTTAACAGCTGAGCTATTACTCTGCTTATTAATAATTGTTTTCTGTTTTGACAGTAGAGAGCATGTCTCAAGTATCTTTGTGTCTTTTTGACATGATATGTTCAAAATAAATGTTCACCTATGTACAAATCTAAGGCTCACAAATGAAATTTCCTAAGCCTCAGATCAAATGCATTATTAGGAAAAACCTTTTTATGAATTAGTCCAACAAACATTTATATGAATTCACCCCCATAAAACCGTTCAGGAGACATCAAGGCATATCCTTGCCTCTGTAAGGAAAATAAGTCATAACCACATGAATAGCAAAACCATAATACCAGTCACCTTCTGGTAATATCCAAAGACAAAGGAAGCAACAAGAAGGGTGTAAGAAAGAAGGAACGAGAGAGAACCAACACGGAAAAGGATAATATAACGTTTCTTGAAGGAGATTGAAAATATTACATATTTTGAAGTTTAAATTAAAATCTGCTTAAATGGGTGAGATGTGGGTAGGCATTTCATGTTTAGGCAAAGGCTTAGAGGCAGCATAAAGTTTTTATTGAAGGAAGAAAAAGAGGCAAACTTAGAAACCAGATTGTTAAAGATTTGGGCATAAGTTATACTGCAGGTAAAATAGGATTTTGAGGGAATGGAAAAAGAGGGGATAATGCAGAGAAACTCGGAGGCACCATGACAACTCTCTGTGACCTGTTAGACGTAGTCTACCTTCACTGCCTCAGAAACGAAGAGAAGACTTGGAAAGTCAAGATAATATGTGTAGGGGAAACAGTAAGAGGGCTGGAGTGAAGTAGGGCTTTGGAAAAATCACAAATTTAGCCATTTCAATTTCCAGAAGAGAAGAATAACCAAGGATAAAGGAATTCATTTACCTAACCTTAGAGTTTCCCTTAAAATATCCATTATTTTGATGTTTAAAAAAAAAAGACCTCTTCCAAAGGAAAATACTTTTAAATTCTCCTTAGAAAAAAACTCAGAAGTCACCTTGTGATATTAAGAGAGTTAAAGGATGGACATCATGGGCTCATTCTGGGTCACTGGAAATTACTCTTGACGTAAAAGACTACACTTGGGTACAGTGTACACTGCTCAGGTGATGGGTGCACCAAAATCTCAGAAATCACCACTAAAGAACTTACTCATGCAACCAACCACTGGTTCCCCAAAAACCTATTGAAATTAAAAAAAAAAAGAAATTAATCTTGACACATTATCTCAATGCTTTCATCAGGATGACGGAATGGCGTTGTGGGACTCCACATTCTATCTGATCGGCATAAAATCTTTCTGTCTTCTGAACTGGGAAAATCTCTGACAGCACATGAATATGAAACATGGACACCATAGAAATTTACATAACTGTTGGTGAAATATTTTCTTCTCTGTTGAGTGATTTTGAAATTCTATGCAAATGCGCTACTTTAGGTGTTCTGATAGATGGCATAAGGGATGTGTGTACAAAATTTTAAAATATTCTTAGGAAGGCTTTCTTTTAAAAAAGAAATCATATCAGAAGAAGAAAAATTACCTTTTATTAGCATTTTTTAAATTTATAAATTTAAACAGTTACATCTGCATTTATAATCAGCACTACACTAGTGGGATCTACGGGTTCTCAGAGACTCTTTCAGTGCTCTTGGTAAAGGATAATTATTCCCTAAACTACAATACAATACATTACACCCTATATAATGTTTTCAGTTTACACAATGCTTTATAATTTTACTTTAGTAAATGCACTCATTATTTGTAACAACAAGAAATTTTTCTTTCTAAATGACAAAAATCTTCTACTCAATTATTAATGCAATAGAAAGAAATCAACCCTTTAGAAGATCTAATTTTTAATTATTTAGCAGTATCCATTCACACATAATACATTAATATAAAAATTAAAAGTCTTTTATTAGATCAGCTCCTCAAGAATTTACATAATATTTTGCATTCCAAGCAATTAAATATTATATCAAAAAAACTAAAACTATTTAAATATATTTCTTTTAAAATACATATATATATTTTATTACATTTTAGGTTTTGGGGTACACATGAAGAACACGCAAGATAGTTGCATAGGTACATACATGGCAATGTGGTTTGCTGCATTCCCCCCCATCACCTATATCTGGCATTTCTCCCCATGCCATCCCTCTCCAACTCCCCACCTTCCGCTGTCCCTTCCCTAGTTTTCCCCTGACAGACCCCAGTGTGTGATGCTTCCCTCCCTGTGTCCATGTGTTCTCATTATTCAACACCTGCCTAGGAGTGAGAACATGCGGTGTTTGATTTTCTGTTCTTCTGTCAGTTTGCTGAGAATGTTGGTTTCCAGGTTCGTCAATGTCCCTACAAAGAACACGAGCTCATCGTTTTCAATGGCTGCATAATATTCCATGGTGTATATGTGCCACATTTTCCCTGTCCAGTCTATCATCAATGGGCATTTGGGTTGGTTCCAAGTCTTTGCTATTGCAAACAGTGCTGAAATGAACATGCATGTGCATATGTCCTTATAATAGAAAGCTTTATAATCATTTGGATATATACCCAGTAATGGGATTGCTGGGTCAAATGGAATTTCTATTTCCAGATCCTTGAGAAATCGCCACACTGTCTTCCACAATGGTTGAACTAATTTACACTCCCACCAACAGTGTAAAAGTGTTCCTATTTCTCCACATCCTCTCCAGCATTTGTTGTCTCCAGATTTTTTAATGATCACAATTCTAACTGGCGTGAGATGGTATCTCAATGTAGTTTTGATTTGCATTTCTCTATGACCAGTAATGATGAGTATTTTTTCATATGTTTGTTGGCCTCATATATGTCTTCTTTTTTAAAGTGTCTGTTCATATCCTTTGCCCACTTTTGAATGGGCTTGTTTTTCTCTTATAAATCTGTTTAATTCTTTGTGGATTCTGGATATCAGCCCTTTGTCAGATGGGTAGGTTGCAAAAATTTTTTCCCATTCTGTTGGTTGCCGATTCACTCTAATCATTGTTCCTTTTGCTGTGCAGAAGCTCTGGAGTTTAATTAGGTCCCATTTGTCTATTTAAATATATTTCTTAATAATGTACTTCAGCCAGGCACAGTGGCTCACTCCTGTAATCCCAGCACTTTGGGAGGCCGAGGTAGGCAGATCACGAGGTCAGGAGTTCAAGACCAGCCTGACCAACATGATGAAACCCCATCTCTACTAAAAATACAAAAACTAGCCAGGCATGGTGGTGGATGCCTGCAGTCCCAGCTACTCAGGAGGTGGCAGCAGGAGAATCGCTTGAACTTGGGAGGCAGAGGTTGTGGTGAGCTGAGATCACACCACTGCACTTCAGCTTGGGCAACAGAGTGAGACTCCATCTCAAAAAAAAAAAAAAATCTACTTCATTGTATTTCTCCAAAATTATACTGAATTATTGCCATTTGATCATACTGCATTAATTTTTAACCAGGAATTCTTCTCCATATCTTGATTTCAACTATCGCCTCTTGTTCTTTTCTTCCCCATAACCTCAGTACTCACCACACAGGACAGGTGGACACCACAGAAGAGAGGGGACTCTGGGGAGGCAGTGCTAGGAAGATTCCCTGCATCGTATGAGGTATTGTGCAGAATCTCAGACACAGTACTGGGCTCAACATTCTCAGACACCCTAAGTCAGATGAAAGTTGTTGCTCCAAATCACTAGTAAATTGATGCCTGAACCAAGAAACTAAGTTTTGGGAAGGCCACCACTTTGAGTCGCTGAAGGACACAATGTGATACTATTTTACACGCAACAGAATTTCCCCAAAACAAAAAACAAAAAACATTAACAATAGCAAGTGTTCCATGTTCTGCAGGAGTGTGGTGGAAAACTGAACAAACACACACGCACGCCTTATGAGCCAGCAATTTCATCCTCTGTTATATGCAGAAAATAAATGTCAATATTCAGCAAAAAAAATTTGCAAAAATATTCGTAGCAGCACTATTCATGGTGGCCAAAAAAAACTTAAAAATAACCCAAATATTCAAGATAAATTAATTGTGATATATTCATATGCTGGTGGAATACTAAATAGAAATGAAAATAAATGAACCTCAACTATACATAACATGGATGAATCTCACAAATATATTTAAAGGAAAAAATAACATGAATGAAATAATGCATAATGGATGATTTCATTTCTATAAAGTTGAGCAATATGCAAGCCCAATCTGTTAAAAGTGAGAAGAGTGGAATTCTGTGCAGGGGTGAAGGAGCGAGTTACTAATGGATAGGGGCCATGAAACAGACAATGGTTTGTCTGTAACAATACAGAAAATCCTTTGAGTTTTGTATCCGTTTCTGTAGGTAAAGGGTAGGCACATGTGGGATTCAGAGTAAAGGTGTTCAGGCTAAGATTACAGTATGAACATGGTTTGAATTTCCTGGCTTCCATTCTTTCTAAGGTACAAAAAAAGTGAGGTAAAGTTAATCACAGACACTTTAGGCAGTGGATTTGTGTACTGTACTGTGTCATATTTATGTGACATATTGACCAAGATGACTACACAGACAAACTGATATTTGATAAATAATTATTTAATTAACCAGTACTTCAAGTCCAGGAAAGTAGACATATGCACAACAAAAGGCTAGATTACCAATAATTACACATTTTCTCTAGCAGTAATAAGAAAGTTTTCCTAGCCCAGACACTTATTAGAGTGATGGTGCTTAAGGAAGAGTAGAGTTGAATGAAGATTCTGTGTATTGATTTAAAGGAAAAAATAAGTCCTTTCTTTCCTCTTTTTCAGAAAATTTCTGATGGGTGTTCACCAATTTGTCTCTCTCTTTTTCAAGTTGTTCAATCTCCAGAGACAGCTTATACACCTCCAGGGCCATTTTCACATCTTCTGGGCTTGGCAGGCACTGCATGAGCTTTCTGCCTGTGAGCACTTGCTCACAACCTTCAGATACCTCCTAAAAGCAATTTAAAGAAGTGAATAGGGAATGGGAGTACATTCTGAGAGTCATTACTGGCAAAAGGGAAATTGACCTGAGGAACAAAGAGGAAATCTGGAGAGACACTGCATCCTAGCAAGCATTCACATGCAAGCCAAGCCCAGCTCTGTCCTTGAGTAGCAACCAAGCAGGTTGAAGCTAAAAAGATGCTGGAATCTAAAGGAGATGCAAAGCACATCCACAAGGACAACTAGGGGATGGTTCTGAGGACCAACCAGAAATGGAACAAATGTACAACCTTTATGTAGAAAATGTAGATCTAGGGGTTAGGACATCTGGGTCAACGGCCTCTCAACTCTAGAGATTTTGGCTCTAGACACAGAGCGGGAAAATGTGCCTCTCTTGGCTTATCACCATGCAAGTGTGGAAGTGCTAATTGTGGTGAGTTACTTATGCTTCCTGACAAAAGTCAGATCTCACCATTGCTAACTGGAACAGAATTTGGGAAAGGCCAGTATTTTTAGGGATTAGTGGCACAGAACTTCCTTGAATTGTGCCACTTACCCACTCACATCTGGGCACTTCTGGGTACCAGGTTCTTTCCTCTGAACAAGTGATACTTTTGGGACCGACCAAACCATAGCCAGAATCACATTGGATGGTGACATTTTCAGGCTCAACATACTGATCCTTATCCACAGACAGCCTTCCATTCACTATTTCTGGTTTCAGACACAGAGCTGTAATGGAAACGTGTCTTTGAGTATATTGTTTCTTTAAAAAAGTCATCATGACAGCATTGGATAATAAAATGGATAAGAAATTATATTCATAATTATATTCTGGTCCTGCAGATTGTTCTATGCTTTCATTTTAATGATAATTATAACAGTTATAATTAGCATTTATTGAACGAGTACTATATGTCAATGTGCTATGTTTTTACTTATCTCATTTAATCCTCACTACCAATCCATGAGTTAGATAATATTATTATCACAATTTTACCAACAAGGAAACAAGAGTTAAATAGTTCCTCTGTATCACATAGCTTGTAAGTGGTAAGAACTGGTGCTCTCGCTGCTGCACCCCACGGCCTTGATTTGTGTGATTCCTGATATGTACTTTCCATTGTTCTTGCTTCATAATCTTCCTGAGCTAAATGGAGCCAGTGCTGATTATTAGCAGAATGATGAAAGCTCCAAGCACAATCAAGAGACAGAGCCTCTTGCTGCTACAGCAGATTTACCAACAGCACCACCATCAGGTCATCAAAAGGGGAAATGTAAAGGTCATGGGGAAATGGTGACCAGCATGAGGTTTTTGTGGAGATTTCCAACACTTCCTAATTTGGGAATTAACACTTGAGATTGCTATTTCTTGAGTAGTTGAAATTATCTCAGGATTCTTTTGTGAACTAGAGCCACAAAGGTATTCTCAGATAAATGATATTGTCTCAACGTATTCTGGAAAGATACATAAGAACCTGATAGTAGTGGTTCCCTCTGAACGTAGGGCAAGCTATACTTTTGGAAGACTGGAGTAGGAAGCAGAGTTCATTTCCAATGTACCTGTCAATTACTTTCTAAAGTATATCAGGCATAATTTAAATAGTATGAATGAATAAATAAAGACAAAATGTATGCTGCCTTTGATTAACAGGAAACATTGCTCTTAATATTTTGTAATTCTGTCTTCAATGGACTATGAGTTGAGCTGGAGTTACCTTTACATTGAGGAGGCGCTTGTTGCCAGCGAAAAGACTTGCAGTCGATTGTAGCAAATCCAGCCAAAACGTATCCTTCATCACACTCATATGTAGCCTCAGGATAAGGGGTTATTAAAATAACTTCCTTGTAGTGTCCATGGGCAATTCTGGGAGGGTACCTGCAAACTTGGATGGTGAGGGAGAGAGAGAGAGAAGAGCATAAGCTCATAGTTTCAGATTAATCAACCCAAATCTAAGTGATCTGTAAGAAAGTCAAATGTTCCCATCCAAATCCTTTTTCTGTAGGGTTACTTGACACAACTCAACATTTCTACTGCTTTCAGGCTGAGAACCTGGAGAAAAGCTTGATGTGAATGAAAGCAACTTGGGTTGAGAGAATTCTCCATTTTATAGGAAGCTTTTTGGTTTTTGCTTACATTATCACTAAAATATTTCACTACTTAGGGAAATTACATGAGCTTTGGTAAGAGAGCATGAATTCAACCACAGAGAGTCATATTAAGTAAGAATCATTCTCAATAAAAGTCAGGCTAAGTAAAAGAAATATTTATCTGTGAATAATTGTGAAGGCTCTGAATAACTGCAGGATCCCCAAACAATCTTGTCCATAACTACAACCATAAGAACATAATTACCATATTTCACAATTTAAACCATGATTTCAGTGTTGACATAAGTAATACGAAATGCTGGGTAGTCAAACTAGAAGGGAACTCTCAATTTTCAAGAACTCTTGTATAAAAATTTGCAACAGATTTCAAACATTGAGACTGTCAAAGAAGTCCTGTGTTGAAGGATGATTTCCTCCTGGGACCCTTCCTTATTAGAATTCGCTTACCTTCTCTAATTGTTATCTCAAGTCCCACTTCTCCATGAAGCTTTCTTTGATTATTCCAATACACAATGTCTGTTCTTTCCTTTTATAACACTTGTTAGCAGATTACTTAAAATTAATAGAATTTAATTAACGGGGCATAAACAAATGGAGTGGTGCAAAGGATATATTGTCACAGATGTTTTGTACCCATGCCATGTCCCTCTGGACTTCTGACTACAGTTGCAGATGAAATACAGTTTTACTCAAGCTCAGATTTATACTGGTGATGTTCTACAGAAGGCAGTCAATGTGAATCTCTCAATCTTACTTTGGGGCCCCCTTTGCAGCTGAAAGAGCTCAGTTACTGCCTAAATTACCAAAGCAGTTAATGCCCTTTAAAGCAACCCTAAACCAATGAGCAACAGAAAGTAGCGGATAAATATTCCAGTCTCCCATCCTTCATGCAGATAATTATAAAAGGCATTCCTTACACTTCTCGGTGGTCCCAAAGAATTGACCCCTTGCTGCTTATAATAGTCACCTTTGTTTATTCCCCTTGTCTCTCTCTCATCCCTCACTCCTACCTCCTAGAATCACCTCCAAAATAAACTACTGGCTCCCAAGTCACTTTCTCAGCTTTGCTTTTAGAGAAATCCAAACTATAGTACCCAGTAATCACCATTGTGTTGATGTAAAGAGTCCTTTATAATGAAGATACTTCCATAATAACTACATTTTCGGTGTCTTATCCTGATTAGAGACAGATGTTTATCACCCTAGTTACTTATTTCTTTTCCTTCTTCATATTTCAATTGAGAGGTGATTCAGTAGTTCTGAGTTAAAGCAAGGAATGGAAAGGCTGACACTGTGTCAGCCACTGGGCTTCAAGGCTCCCCCTAACAGATCACTTCTTCAACCCAGAGCTTCCATTGTTACATAATACGTAAATCATGTTTTCTCTCTTGACCTATAAATATGGAGTTTTGTGAGGTAGTATCCCTCTTTACTAAAACATCACCCATAGTGCTAGTAGACCATATATGCAGGAAAAAAAGGACAAAATGAGACTAAAAGACTTCATCAATTCTACTTTTTTCTCTTACAAGAAAATTTCTCCTGTAAGTTTTTCTTCCAACATACTTTGTTCTATAGCTGCCTTGCATGGTGCTAGTGATGTGTATCTGTGACCCTCTTTGCACAATGCTTCTTGGAGGAACAACCTCAAATTCAGTTAGTTTTAAGCAGTTCAATCTTTTGTGGAGCCAATTGGAAGCATTTGGGGAATCTAGGAAATAATTATGACAAGTTCTCTCAATATTCTTACCTGGCTCACATGCTGGTATTTTAGGCTTCCATGTGCCATCTGTGTGGCATGAACTCTTCCCACCAACAGAAATAGGGTAATAGCCTTCATCACACATATATAAAATATAGTCCCCATAGGCATAGGCACATCTACCAGTGAAATACTTCCTTTCATTTATGATTCTGATGTTTTCCAGGTCTGGTGTTGGGCAACACACCCCTGATAGGTTAAAAAATGTTTAACATTACATGTCTGTATCAGGATATCTCATGTACTCCATAAATATACACACCTACTATGTACCCACAAAAGTTTTAATTTTTTTTAAATGATGTTCACATTTAATAAATTAATCAGGGGGACACAAACCTGACTCCACCTTACAGAAGATGTTAATATCTGAAGGCAAACTCATGGAAGTAGAGAGTAGAACAGTGGTTGCCAGAGGCTGGAGGAAGGAGAGGATGCAACTCCCCAGTTGTTCCACAAATATAAAGTTTCAGTTGTGCAAGATCAATGAGTTCTAGAAATCTGCTGTATAAATAGTGCCTATAATTAACAGTTCTGTAATATACACTGAAAAACTTGTTGAAAGGGTAGATCTCATGTTAAGTGCTTTTGCCATAATTTAAAGAGAGAAAGAGAAAGAAAGAAACAGAGAAGTTGAGAGAGGAGTTAGACAAAGCATCTTCTCCAAATTCTGCCATTGTTTTGTTGAAGTGCTATTACTTAATTTCCTTCCAACTGTGTTTCTTCATTAGAAGTCCTTAAAACAAAGTGTTGCTTTTGGTGATGATAAGCTAAGCAACGCAGATTCACCTTCTCTTTGACAGCAAGTAGAAAAACATGGAGGGGAGGGGGCGGTTAAATTCATGAAGAATTCAGATGCTAAGACCTTAATTGTCTTAGTTGTTATTTGAATGAGAAAGAAAGATACCCAATGAGGTGTGCCAGGAATATAAAGCTGCTTTTTTTTATATAGAAGTATACAATACTTCTCCTCCCCCAAAATACAACCGAGTGGCTAAGAAGCTGATCAGAGCTTGATATGTGTGTGGTAGTAGGGATTGATTGCTGGTAACTCCCTGCTCTTGGAAATGTTTAGAACTATCCCTTGAAGTAAGAATAAACCAAAATAGACCAACTATCTATAAAAAGTATTAAAACCCAGGCTTGTATCATTACAATCCCTGATTGGATTCGGGTCCTTCAAAACCCTTAATGCCCGTTACCACCTGCCAGAAGCGAACAGGAGACCAGACAACGTTATTAAAAGCCAAAGAAAGCAAGAGACAATGCTAAAAGACCTGAGAGGATCCAGAAAATGAAGCTCTAAACACTGAATTAAGAGCAGCTTTGCTTTGTTAGGCAGAAGGAAATAAAATACAACATTGAGAATTTTGATAGAAAAATAAATATTAATACTACAAATCCACTACAAGTGAGAATCTTGAAACTAAAAAATATAATAAAATTAAAAATTCAATTAATAATTAATATCAGATAATACATCAATGAAGAGAGAATTAGTGAACTTGATTTATATTCATAATAAAATACTGGGAAGCAAAGGTCAAGAACACAGATAAGAGCACAGGAAATACAGAAGATTCAGTATAAAAGTTTAATATAAATGTAGCCAAAGTAGTGAAAATAGGACTGAAATCGTACTCAAAGAAAATAATTATTTGTAATATTGAAGTATTTGAAGTTGAAAATTTTTCCAAAATCAAGGAAAGGCATCAAACCTCGTATTCTAGAAATATTCTGAATCTCAAGCAGGCCAAACACAAAGAAACCATCCCAGACATATCTGACAAAAACCGCCAAAAAATAAAGACAAGAACATCTTAAAAGCAATCTGAAAAAATAGACAACCTTCAAATGATTAACAGTATGACTAATAGCAAAATTCTTGATAGAAACAAAGGCAGAAAACAATGGAATGAAATCTTTCATATGGCCGAGGTAAATAATTGCCAATGTAGAATTTTATATCCAGCAAACATATCTTCAAATATTAAGGCGAAATAAAGGCACATTTAGGAAAGCAAAAAGAAAAATTTATCGTCAACAGATCCTCACTAAAGGAAACTAAAGAGTATTTATCAGGCAAAAGAAAGGGACCAGAGATATGACTGAAGAATCAGAAGAGAATAAAATGGTAATTATGTGGACAAATCTAAACTAATTGGATTTATTAAAATTATAATAGCAATAGTAATAATGATAATAATAATGCAGAGTTTAAGACACATTTAGAATTGAAATACACAAAAATAAAATCATAAGTCAGTCAGGATCAAGTTAAAGGTTTCTAAGGCTTTTCATTGCTTGGGAAGAGGCAAAAGTAGTAAATTATATGTAAACATCATAAAAAGAGCTAAAAGTAAATAAAAATCAAGCAAATACCAGGTAAAAAATTGAAAAAAAAATTTAATCTATTCAAAAGAAGGCAAAAAAGAATGCAAAACAGGAAAAAATATAGCAAATAGATGGTAGATTCAAATTCAAATGTCTTAATAATTACACTAACTGTACACTGACAAGTACTCTAATTAAATGATGAAAATTGTCAAGTAGGATTAAAATATCCAAGTACAAGATACACTTAAAATATAAAATTACAGAGTTTAAGAACAAAAGACTAAAATGATAAATCATGTAAACACCAACTCAAATAAAACTGTCAGAACCACATTATTATAAAAGTAGAATTTTAAAAATAAGATACAGTAATAAAGAGAATCATTTGATAATGATAAAAAGCGAAATTCATCAGGAAAATATATTATTCTAAATTTGTATGCATCTAGCAATGTAGTCTCAAATATCCAAAGCAAAAAATGATTTGAAAAAACTAAAAAGATGGCCAGATGTGGTGGCTCACAGCAGTAATCCCAGCACTTTGGGAGGCCGAGGTGAGTGAATTGCTTGAGTCCAGGAGTTTGAGACCAGCCTGGACAACATGGCGAAACCCCGTCTCTATAAAAAAATACGAAAATGAGCCAAATATGGTGGTGCACACATGTAGCCCCAGCTACTCCAGGGGCTGAGGCAGGAGGATGGCTTGAACCTGGGAAGTCTAGGTTGCAGTGAGCCGAGAGCGTGCCACTGCATTACAGGCTGCGTGACAGAGCAAAATCCGGTCTCAAAAGAAGCAAACAAACAAAAACTCTGAAAAGATTTAAAAAACAAAACTTTCTTGGTATCCGAGAGAACAAGCAGACAAGAAATAAATATAGATATGGAAATAGATTTGAACAAAACCATTAAAATTAGATCTAACTGATGTATATGTAACATTGTACCCAACAACTGCAAAATATGCATATTTTCAAGTGCACACACAACATTTATAAAAGTTAATTATATGCTATGCAATGAAGCAAGTCTCAGCAAATTTCAAGGATTCTGCTTAACATTTTCAATTGCAAAGAAGATCCTCACACACATACACAAAACAAAGTTCAAGTCTACTTACTCTCACACTCGTTGGAAAATGTCCATGTCAAATTTTCCTGACAAGTCACAGTCAGAGGCTCATCTAGAACAGGTCTATAGCCAGGTTTGCACAGATATTTCAACTCAGTTCCGATTTCAAATATTTCTTGATCACTTAGGTTGTAGTCATTTCTCTCCCAGGAAGCATAGGAAATGTCCGGGAGGTTGATGCAACCATCCATTCATAAAGAAAACACACGGGTAAAGGAAATGTGTTACTGGGAAAGGCAGAGTGACTTATGAGCCTGTCACAAAAAAAGGACATCACATACTCATTCCGCAAAAAATTGGATAGGAAAAGTTAAATGGGGATTCCAGAAAAAGACTTGGCAGCACCACTGCCCAATAGACGTGTCTGTTAAGTACATGTGTCTGCTAAATGCATGTGACACTGGAGAGGCTGTACTGAGAAGCATGCCATGGTACAGTAAGGGGACAGTTTCTAGTGCTGGGCCAACTCTGTAGGAGCTTAGTTTTCCTTTCACGTCACTGCACCTTAGAATGGTTGGTCTTCAGGGGAAGCATTAGCATCACTAGAAAGATACAGCAAAAATTTGCTCCAAGATGAGACTGACTTTCTAATCTTCTTGCCTAATGGGGAATTAAAATAAGATGCATTCTTCTTGACATCATAACATTGTCATCTAGAACTTCATAATTTGGCCTCAAATCAAGCCCTATATAACTTTTGCAGCTGGGCCTTTGGTCTTATTTTTTTCTTTTTTTTTTCCTGAACAACAATATGCTAAATGTCTGTGTAAACTGAGGAAAGGATATGTATCTGTCAAACTGCATATTTATTGAATTTCGTTACTACACATTTTGAGTGACACCTAAGTTCATGTGATAGCAGAAGGGACTAGATAAACCACGATGCAGTGGTGGCTTTCACCTCCAGTTAGCTATAGGAGCTTGTGCTAGTTACTTAATCTTTCTTTTTCAGTTTTCTTATCATTAAAATTGGATAAAAAATAGCAACTTCTTAGAATTGTTGTAAATATTGAATGAGTTAATTGATGTAAAGCACTTAGAACAGTGTTTATAACATAGAAAATGCTCAATAAATGTTAGCAATAAATCATTAATGTTATAAGTGATCTGCATGTATTTACAAAACCAAGGTCTCAAGGCCAATATTAGCCCTTATAGCATTTCTATGCAAATTATAAAAAAGAACCCCCTTAATGGACTCTTACTTTCATTGTTCAAAAAATTCTCATAATATGTTGATTTCATTAGACTGAGACGCTTTGCTATTGCGCCCTGGAAAACTTTTACAGCAAATATATAAGTCTACAATACCTATGAAGTCATTGGTCTCATGACTATATAATATATGTGAAATTCTTCCAGGAGCACTAAGACATTAACAAAAAAAAGTCTTCCTTTTAACAAGAAAGCTGGTGAAAAGTATTAAGATATCTCATAATGATTACTGGGAGTCAAGTAGGCTTGTGCTTATGAGCATGCCACAGCTATACATCAGGATAATTTTAGATCCAAATATGAAAACTCCATCATAGTCCATACTCACTGGATACACAAGAGGGAACAGAAGGATACCAGTCACTATTCGCTTCACAATAGATTAAATTGCTGCCTCTGAGGATATAACCTTCCTCACAGTTAATCACAATAGAGTCTCTGTAAGTATAGAGGGGTCCAAATCCAGAAATAAAGATTGCCTTTGGAATCTGTGGTTGACGACAGACAATTTCTAAAGAATCATACAAAAAGACATCTGAGTTAATAGAGAGAAATGGTAGGAAAGACGTGACTGTAACTGTTGGCATGGCTTCAAGGAGGTCCTGATATAAGTATATATTTAATAGGTACTGAACAAAGAAAACATTTTAGAGATTTATATATGTTCTTTCAGTTGCCAGAAACCTCAGGGGAATGAGGTCCCATCAAGTGGGTCATGTAAAGTCCTCCAACTTTCTCATCAATAAAAATGAGCAATATCTAAACCCTGAAGTCCAAACCTCAATGTTCCCAAATCCTTCCATTAAAGGGCCCAATTTCCTGGATGATTTTGATTGGGGGTCAGTGGCCCATGGTAATGATATGGTGTCATGCAGAGGCAGCCAGGGCATTGGGAAATCTGCGCCGCGCCTCCACAAGCAGAGAACAAGCCGCCCTCACCCCACGTCCTGTCTGTCATCACGTCCTGTCAATCCCACCACCTTAATTCCTCTATACTTCCTCAACTTCCCTCCAGGTTCACTGCTGTGGCTACAGTTGAGGCCACCTTCACTTCCTGGCTGAAAGGTTACAATAGGTGCTTATTAGTTATGGTTTGTCTCACTTCAAATTGTCCTTTTAATATCTCCCCTTTTCCTTCATTCCAAACTCCTGAAAGTGACACACAAGGCTTTTGTAATGTATTCAGCCTGAGCTCCTGCCTTTTCCACTTCTTGCAGTCCTGAATCCAGGCATTTTGAACTCTTTCTGCTATTATCCTCTCCCTCACCCCAGCGTTAGCTGTGTCCTGTACTGAGTCAAAACACTATGTGATATTGTGGTTTTTAGGCACTTTAATTGCACTAAAGAACAATGTCCTAAACCAGCAAGCTGAATCATTACTGATATTGATGTAACATCTCTTCTGCATTCCATAGAGAGGCCAAGGGAAAGTACTCTCTTTCACTGTCTTCTGCTATTAACCTGCCGCTGATGTTGATATTATTTTGCTTGCTCCTTAGGCATGTATGGTTGACATTATTAGTGTCCACATATATTTATAGTTATTGTAAGATAAACAAAAGACTAAGTTTCCCAGTTACTCTTCATTAGGCAGAAACAAGGCACTAGTTCTGGCCAAAAGGCTGTAATGACAAGTGATATGTGTCACTTCCAGGTCAAAGAACTGAAGAGCCAGAGACTGACCTTCCTGGTTCTCTTCTCCCACTGAACTAAATTGTGGAAGTTTTGACATAGAGGTGTTAAAGACTTAAACAATCTGAATTACCATATAAGTGGCAGCTGCCTTAGGGAGTTTCCCAGGCTAGCAGTACACTAAAAAGAAACTTGAAAAAAACTTTTGCTGTAAGAAGGCCTTGATATTTAGGTGCTGATTACTACTGCAGCACAGCTTATGCTATTCTGACTGATACAGCATGTAACAAGATTAGTTGAACAAATGAAGACTCCATCATTGCAATGATTAGTTTCTCTTTGAATCATTCCATCTTTCCTAATAAATACACCTTCCTTTTGCTTTTAAACAAATAAAAGAGATCAAAATTCATCATTTGATCATTCATCACTTGATCAAAGAGATGAAAATTCATCATTCTGACTTACTTTCACAGATAGTGACTTACTTTCACAGATAGTGACTTACTTTCACAGATAGTGACTTACTTTCACAGATAGGAGGGTTTGGGCTCCAGACACCTATTGTTTTATTCTCCACCGTGCAGTAAATGGAGGCGTTGCCTATGAGTGAAAAGTGGGGGTTGCAGCTATAGGTGACAGAAGAGGCATATATATAGAATTCTTGATCTCCACCGTTGTGCTTCCCATTTCTGATGTCTGGAGGGGACTCACACTTGGCAACTGAGATGAATGAGTGAAAAGAGAGAAATACTCAAGGTAGGCATTGTGACAAATCTAAAATTCATGCAAATTCTAATGGAGGGTAAAAGAAGCAGTGAACTTTGTTATTACCTAAAATAGTTCAGGTTTGTAGTCAGGTCAGGAAAAAAAAGTTTTACTTACTTACACATTCTGGGAGAGGATCACTCCAGTCAACTCCTTTACCTTGGATCTGACAGTGACTGGTGGTTGAGCCAATTAAGAAAAATCTGAATAAGATAGGTCAAAGATTTTAGTGGAATTCATTTTTACTCTAAACATAAATTGTCTATGAAGTTTTCGACAACTTAGAAAAAATAAATATTGAGTACTTTGCTTAGCGCCTGGGTAATGTTAAAAATCTGTACACCAAACCCCCATGACATGGGTTTATCTATGTAACAAACCTGCACATGTACCCCGATCCTAAAATAAAATTTTTAAAAATACATTTTTTACAAACTTTCTTATCTCCTGTTTGATCTCCTGAAAATGTATTTATCTTTCTAAAAAGTCATTTGTTTCCCATAAGTGCCTTTCTCCCTTCACCTACTAAAATGTATATATGCCCAAATTCTAACCACCCCTTTGAGTTACTCATCACCAAGCTCTCCCACATGTATGTATGTTGCATGAATAAACTCTGTAATTGTCTCCTGTTAAAAAAAACAACAGATTTTTATTCAATATTTTAAAATTAGAAAATAATGCTTTCTTGATTACCACAGTTACATTTTCTCATATCAAGCAGATGGCTTATTTGTTCAATTTTTAAATTCTCTAACTTCTCTAAACAACTTAAACTTTTTCTTTGTATCACATGGTGCCTATCTGTAATCAATAAAAACAGAACATGACAAGTTTTACACCTAAAATCTGAGGTTTTAGGTGTAAAACTTGTCATGTTGAGGTTTTAGGTGGGTAAAAGAAGCAGTGAACTTGGTTATTACCTAAAATAGTTACATGTGTTACATGGTACCCATCCTTAACCAATAAAAATCTAAATCTTACAGTCTTTCTCTAATAAGCTACAAATCAGGCAGTTCAAAACAAGTAAGTGATTCACTTGAGTTTGTTATGTAGTTTCCTTTAAATAAATAAACAAGACACATTATTGCTGTGTACTCTGACCTCTAATTTGAATCTTTCTTCTGGCTTCTAGAGCTTGGCTCACTCTCATAAACCTCAGAGTTCCTCAGAAACTCATAAATTCCTAACTTCCTGATTATCATTTCCTTGTTCTTGCTCTTGACAAGTCCCAGTCTTTCTTCTAGGACTTTTTGCATTTAAAAAAAACATTTACTCTGAGTATCAATAATCAGTTCCTGAATAAAATTTATCAAACAGAGTCCAACAACACTTTAAAAGAAAACTATACTATGACAAAATAGTATAGTTTTATTTCAAGAATAAAAGGATCCTTCAAAATCAGGAAATATATTAATGCAGAATACCTTGTTGTGGACTGAATGCATTTATCTCCAGAAAATTTATATGTGGAAGCCCTACCTACCTAATGTGGCTATATTTGCATAAGGAAGTAATTAAGGTTTACAAGGGTGGGGACCTGATCCAAGAAGATTAGAGTCCTTATAAGAAGAACAGCACAAAGATCTCCCACTTTCATTCCCTGCACCCTCGTGCTCACACCAGGGAAAGGTCATGTGTGGACAACCAGCCATCTGCAACCCAGGCAGAGAATCCTCAATCAGAACCAAACCCTGCGGTACCTTGACCTGAGACTTCTAGACTCCAGAACTGTCCCAGCCTGTGGCATTTTGGTATTTTGTTATGGCAGCCTGAGCAGACTAATATATACATGATATTAATAAATCTATGAAGAAAAATATACCATCACCTTGATAGTCACTAAAATGGCATTTGAAAAATAATCAAAAATTAGTTTTGGCCAAAAATGTTCAATATAATGGGAATCAGTGGAGACACAGCTCCACTAAATTTAGGAACAGAATGCTAGAGTCATTTCTGTAGAGTCAAGAATAATGAAACCATAACTGGTATGAATTTTTTATTTGAGATAATAACTAGCAGAAGGAAATAGAAATACAAAAATTTGGAAGAGAAAGTAACAGAATCATTATTTTTAGATTACATAATTACATATCTGGAAATCCCAAGAAAATCCAACTGTATTAGTCCATTTTCACACTGCTGATAAAGACATACTTGAGACTGGGTAATTTATGAAGAAAAAGAGATTTAATAGACTCACAGTTCCATGTGGCTAAGGAGGCCTCACAATTGTGACAGAAGTCAAAAGGCATGTCTTACATGGCAGCAGTCAAGAAAGAATGCATGCCAAGTGAAAAGGGAAACCCCTTATAAAATCATCAGATCTCATGAGACTTACTGCCATGAGAACAATATGGGGGAAACTACCCCCCGCCCATGATTCAATTATCTCCCATTGAGTCCCTTCCACAACACATGGGAAGCTACGATTCAAAATGAGGTTTGGGTGGGGACACAGCCAAACCATATTACCAACTGATATTACCAACTTACCATATTTTCTTATTTGATACAATAAGAAAATTCAAGGCATTAGCTGAGATATGAGATTAATATATAGAAACAAGTAGTTTCCATATATATGGATAAAAATTGCTAGGAGATATAATGGAAGAAAAGACAGCATTTGCAATCTCAAAAATAAGACAAAAATAAAATAAGCTACCAAAGATCAAACATGAGAAGTGAAAAATGTAAATGGGGAAAATTTTAAAACACCCTGAAACACACACACACACACACACACACACACACACACACACACACACAGCACCCCCCACCAACACACAGACTAGGACAGATGGCTAGGACAAATGGAAAGTCTTGGCTGGCAAAATGCAACATCATAAAATGTCTGTTCTCTTAAAGTTCATTTAAAAGCTTAATGCAATTGATTAAAAGTAAAAATAAACTAATTTAAAAGTTCATATAGAAATATAAACAAGCAAACATAGGAAAACTCTATAAAAACAAGTCAGGCAGATACCTCTAAATGAGGTTGCACGCTATACAAATTCAAGAGAAGGGACTGGTTGTATGAATATACAGACAGACTAAAAGCATTGAATAGAACATCTAAAAAAGACTCATATACACTTAAGAATTAAATATGTATTTTTAAAAGATGTTTTCTCACATGGATTAAGTGTAGACTTGTTAATAAATGATGCCAAGATAATGTGAAAGCCATCTAGAGAAAGATAAGGATTCTTTCTGTATTTTTTATATTTGCATGTGAACCTACACTTATCTCAAAATAAAAAGTTTTTCATCCTTGAGAGGTCAGAAAAAAATTAAAAACTTTAAAAACCTATTACAAAGATTTTATTTTCTCTTTTTAATAGGCAACAATTCAAAACTTTGATAAAATAGTGAATCATAGAGGTAAAGACACAAGCATTTGTTTATATTATAAAATTTTACAGTTTATAAAGAGCAATTTGGCAATATTTAGCAAAATTTCAAAGTATCCACTCTCTGATCCAACAATCCCACTTCTGGGAATTTGTTCTACAAACATCTCTACATATTAATACATATAACATAACATACGTAAAAAATATACATCAGGACATTGTATATAACAGGAAGAGATTGGAAACAGACAAAAGTCCACCAGTAGTAATCATTAAATAAACTATGATAAGCTATGATACATGCTTTAGAAAACTATGTAACTGTAAACATACGTATACACACAGACAGAGAGAGAGAGAATGAGGACACATTTGGTGCACGAATATCAAAGGTCTCTAGTACATATTTGTCTTAGTTATTTCTAGTTGCTATAACAAAATACCATAGACTGGACGGCTTAAACAACAGAAATTTATTTCTCACAATGCTAGAAGCTATGAAGTCTGAGATCAGGGTACCAATGTAGTTTCTGGTGAGTGCTCCCTTCCTGATTTGCAGATGGTTTGCATTCCTGCTGTGTCCTCACATGGCAGACAGGGAGAGAGAGACAGACAGAGAGGGTGCGTGAGAGAGAAGAGAAAGCAAGCTCTCTTATGTCTTGAGAGAAAGCGAGAGAGAGAGAGAGAGAGAGAGAGAGAGAGAGGGCAAGCTCTCTCACATCTTTTTATAAGGACACTAATACCCACATGACCTAATTACCTCCCAAAGGCCCCATCTCCAAATACCATCACACTGGGGATTTAGATATGAATTTTGAGGGAATACTGAAAAGAAATTCAGTCTATAGCAATGTTGTAAGTGAAAAAAACAAAAGCAAATTTCCAAACAATGTATGCAGTCAGATATCTTCTGTATAATAAAGGGGGGAAAATTGATAAAAAATACTTGTACTCACTTGTATTTGCAGAAGTAAACACTAAAAGAATAAATCTGAAGCTAACCAATGTCACTTTCTGTCAGAGGGCAGAGAGAAATGGAATGAATGAGGATGGAGTGGAAGTGAGAATTATTGATGTATACCTTTTTATGCCACTTTAATTTTTGAAACATACACATGTATTAGCTCCTTATAAAAATTAATTAAAAAGGAAATTATTGCTTCTAGGTTTCCTTATGCTTACCCCTCTGAGCAGCTGAATTCTATGGTTGAACCAAGGAGAAGATCTTTCTTAACTTCCACTATCCCATTGATTAATCCTCCTGGATTTCTGCACCGTTTCTCTAGGAGGAAAATTAGAAAAACGACTCGTGATTCCAATTATTCACAAAATAGAACATTCGGGAAGAAAAAAAGTCTGGTTAATTAACTTTAACTCCTTCTTCCAGATAGATCCAGAGATATTTTTCAATGCTTATTTCTTATTCTGACTCATTAATATTTTGCTTTGAGAAAAAAATAAATGTAAACATATATCTCATTTTTCTGACACATTTTAAGAGAAAAAAACTTCACTTAGTTTTATTTGCTCAATTAGACCACTGTAATAATACAGGATGTGATTTATTGATCAATTGTCCATAAAAATGTATGCTCCAAAAAATATATGACCTTTGTTACAGGGAAACAGAAGGAAAAAGGAAACAGATGCTATATTCTTACTGTTAGAAAAATAAGCCAGAGCATATTTCCAACTGACTTCTTTCAAATAGTACAGGTGATGTTAATTTTGAACTGTTTGATCAAAGGGTTTCATATGAATTAAATAATTCATTAAGTTTCTAAAAGAACTGTCTGGGGAAAAAAGCAAAGGTGAGAAAAATAGATGTTGATACTTACTTGCACAAAAGATACTGTAGCTCCATGAGCCTTTGGCATCACAAGTCAGTCGACTTGAATTGATTTTACCATATCCAGGGTGGCAGGTGTATTTCAGAATAGTTCCAGTTTTGAATTCAGTATCATACAACAGATTCGTTGGAGAAGCAAATGGTAACTTGGGTGGAGGACCACAGTCACCTGCACTCCAAAATGGCAAGGAACATCAACAGTTATATCTTGGGACACAGTATCTCAGTGTCTGAGTACTAAGTTTTCTGGAGCAGAGACCATGATTTTTCTCTTTCATCGTAACTCCTATTATCTCATTGTTCAATGAACACAGTAAGTGATTATTAATATACGTTTGTTGAGTAGTGATAACGACAATAATGAGTGAAGGCAGAAAAATTTCATCCATCTTTGACTGTGTAAGTGCTAATTTATTAGAAAGTGAATGAATAGACTTGATTTTCATCTTTCTATCAGATTGCCCACATCTCCCTGCTCAGAATACAGGCATCTATGCCATTCCATATGACTCTACCTCCTGTCTTAGCGAAAGATATTTTCTACTAATAATAGCGTTATGCAAGATTAGTTGCCTCAGTCAGGGGTAAGGAGGTATTTCATTTATGTCATTTTGGACCTTTTAGGTTTAGAATAGATGGCCTGTTAGAAGATAAACATGTTTTTCAAAAGCATCACAAGGTGGACAATCATTAAACCCTTGAAAAATAAAATCTTAATTCTACTTCCCTGGCAAGAAATAAAGTACTGAGTACTGAGTGACGTGCCAAAACCTCCAGAATAATTATACCAATCCCTTCTGCATTCTAACTAAGCACACACTGAGAGTGAATGACCAGGCTGGCAGATAATATGCACTTATTGCAAGTCATGATTGCTTCAGTGCTAAGTTGTTCAGAGTTTCCTGGAGAGAAAAATTCTAAAAGGGAGCATTAAGAGGGTCTATAAAACAATATTTTCTTTTTTTAGTTTATAGTATGTTCCCCAAATTCCAGGTGGTCAAATATATGCCATAATGTTAAAGATCTGTTAGACACCTCTTAAAATAGAGTGTGTGATGAACTCAGTTGTATGCTGGTAGTCTGGCCTATCTCCCCACTACTCACCAAGAACGGTAGCCAACAAAACAGTGACCAACATCATTTGGAACAGAGTTAGGTTGGAGACTTTCCACAGCCTACAGAAGAGCCAAGCTGACATTTCTGCTTTTCTATCGAGGGTGGAGCCCTCAAGGAGTGCAAGTGGAGATCTCTGGGAGTGCAGGATCTGATGCCTCTTCAGTGTTTTTCTGCTGAAAGAACTCAACTTAATAAACAGTCATTAAATTCTTACCTGTCATAAACTACCAGGAAGAATCAGATGGGAACCGTTTTCAAGGAGAGTCTAATCAGATGTAGAAGAAAAGGCATTAAGTGTTGGTAATAAAAGATAGTTTGTATTATCTGCTACAAGAGCATATTCAGGACATCAGTAAATTCCAGAGATCTGGGTGGGCTTTACAGAGGTGGCAGATATTTCTGTGCAAGTTGGAGTGTTAAATGAAGGATATTTTATGGCAATAGTAAAAATGGAGTAAAGGCGCAGCAGTGAGAATGTAAAGGTTATTTCTTGAAAATAGTAATTAGTACTTCAGTTTATTTAGAATGTAAGGAATTTCTAATAGGAGATGAGAGTTAAAGATAGAGAGGCAGGTTAGAACTGGGTTTGTTCAGGTTCTCAGTACCAAGATTGGGAGCTTGAACCTAGGAAACAGACATACACTTTTTTTTAAGTGACATGATTACTGTGTTTTTGAAAGACTATTATGGCAGATGTATACAAGGTAGATTGAAATAGGCAGAGAGAAAAGACAGGGAGATTGATTAAGAAGAATATAACAATTGGCCAAGTCAGCCAAGGAGATTATCTGAACAATAAAATGGCAGAAGAGTTATAGAAGAAGGGGCAAGCTTAAGAAAATGACAAGACAGAAGTAAGGAGTCAGAGATGTCTCCATCCATGAATCATATATCAATCTATATCTCTCTATCCAACCACCTATAGGAGTTCTTTTGTGGACAGGCAACTGTCAAAAAAAGCAACAATCCATTGGGTCATTTAGAATTTTTAAAATGTGGTGTTTGCCAACAACAACCAAAAATAAGTAGTAACATTACTGTTATGTTTCTTCATTCTAGTGATTTATTAATTATAAACTTCTTCAAAGCAAGATCTCTATAAAGTCATTCTTACCCCCTGAATGGGAAAAACCCTCACATAAACTGTTTACTTCAGAAACAAGTTACTTAAGAAGTACGACCCAAAGTTATATATAAAATTAACTTTCAGTGAAATATAGAATTTCACCTTTTTTTCTGAAACCTTAGGTAGGTTGAGATGGGTTTATATTATCATCTGTCCCTAATTATATGAATTGCCAATTCATGTCCATGTAAGTCAATAAGTCAATGTTGTGAGGCATTTCCCCTACGTTTTCTTCTAGTAGTTTTGTAGTTGGGGTTTCATATTTAAATCTCTAATCCATTTTGAGTTGGTTTTGTATATGGCAAGAGTTAGGGATCTAGTCTCATTCTTCTGCATGTGGTTATCCAATTTTTCCGGCACCATTTTTTGAAGACTGTCTTTTCTCAAATATATGTCCTCACCTGTGTCAAAAATCAGTTGGTTTTTGGTAGGTTTATTTCTGGTCTCTTTCTTCTCCATTGGTCCATTTGTATCTGAAGGTTTTCCCAATTGAGTATGATGTTAGCTGTGAGATTTTTATATATGGGTTTTATTGAATTGAGGTGCATACCTTCTATATTAATTTATTGAGAGTTTTTGTCAGGAAGGAATGTGAAATTTTGTCATATTCTTTTTCTGCACCTATTGAAATGATCATATGTTTGTCTTTTTCTCTGTTAATGTAGTGTCACATTTATTGATCTGAGTATGACAAACCATCCGTGGATCCCTGGGGTGAATTCTACTTGATCATAATGAATAATTTTTTTAATGTGCTCTTGGATTTGGTTTGCTATTATCTTCTTATGAATCTATGCCTCGATGCTCATCAGGGATATCAGCCTGTGGTTTTCTTTTCTCATTTTGTTCTTGTCCAGTTTTAGAATCAGAGTAATACTAGCCTCATAAAATGAGTTTGTAATTATTCCCTCCTCTTCAATTTTTCTAGAATAGTTTCAGAGGAATTGGTGTTATTTCTTTTTTAAATGTTTCATAGAATTCAGCAACGAAGACATAAGGTCCTAGGCTTTTCTTTGACGGAAAACTTTTTATTATTGTTTTAATTTTCTCTTCAACTTTTAATTGGTCTGTTCAGATGTTTTATTTCTTTATAACTTGATCTTGGTAGGTTGTATGCTTCCAGGAATTTATCCATTTCAACTATCTTAACAAATTTGTTGGCATATAGTTGTTTATAATAGTGTCTTATAATACGTTCTATTTGTGTATATTAATAGTAATGTCACCTTTTTAATCTCTGGTTTATTTATTTCAATATTCTCTCTTTTTTTCTTAGCCTAGCTAAATGTATGTCATTTTTATTCATATGTTCAAAAAACCGACTTCATTTCATTGGTCTTCTTAATTTTTTAGTATCTTCTTCATTTATTTCTGCTCTGAGCTTTATTATTTTCTACCTTATATCAGTTTTAGGTTTCATTAGTTCTTGTTTGTCTAATCCCTTGGGGTGTTTATTAGAAATCTCTCTTCTTTTTTATGTAGCTATTTATTGCTATAAACTTCTCAGTTAGAACTAGTTTTGCTGCGTCCTATAGATTTTGTTATAGTATGTTGTTATTCGCATTTGTCTCAAAAAATCTTTTAGTTTTCCTTTTAATTTATTTTTGACCAATCGATTGTTTAGGAACATGTTGTTTAACTTCCAAATATTTGTAAAGTTTTCAAAGTTTTTCTTGTTGTTAATTTCAAGTTTCACATTATGATAATAAGAAAACCTATTTGATATAATCTCTACCTTCTTAAATTTGTCAAGAATTGTTTTGTGGCCTAAAGTCTGATCTATCTTGGAGAACATTCCATGTGCAATTGAGAGTGTGTATTCTGTAGCTGTTGTATGGAATATTCTGTAAAGGTCAGCTAGATACATTTGGTCTATGGTGCACTTTAAGTCTGATGTTTAGGGATTGATTTTTTTTTTTTCTAAATAACATATTCATTGCTGAAAGTGAGATACTGATGTTCCCTAGTATTAATGTATTGCAGTCCCTCTTTCTCTTTAGGTCTAATAATATTTGCTTTATACATCTGGGTGCTACAGGATTGGGTGCATATGTAGTTATAATTCTTATTTACTCCTACTGAATTCATTCTTTTATCATTATATAATGACCTTTTTACAGTTTTTGTTGTTGTTGTTGTTTTTACTTCAAGTCTGTTTATATGTAAGTATTGCTACTCCTGTTTGCTTTAGGTTTTTGTTTACTTGGAATATCTTTTTCCATTCCTTCAATTTCAGTCTATATTTGACTTTAACCATGAGGTGAATCTCTTATAGGTGGTACATCGTTGGATCTTGTAGTTCTGTTCATTCAGTCACTATGTACCTTTCAATTTAAAAAATTGATTTATTTACATTCAAGGTTATTGTTGATAGGTAAGGACTGACTGGTGCCATTTTGTTAATTACTTTGGTTGTTATATAGATCCTCTATTTCTTTCTTCATTTTTGTTGCTTCCTCTCTTGTTGGTGGTTTTCTGTGGTGTTTAACTTTGTTCCCTTTCTCTTTCTTATCTGTGTGTCTGCTGTAATTTCCTTCTTTGTAGTTACCATCAAGCAAACATAAAGAGTCCCATAGTTATATTGACTATTTTTAGCTGATATCAACTTAACTTTGGTCACATAAAAATACTCTAGATTTTTTCTGTCTTTCTCACAATTTATATTTTTCTTGCCCGAATTTTCTTCTTTATTCTGTGTTCTTTAGCCACTAATTGTAGCTATTGTTGTTTTGACTATTTTGCCTTTAAAATTTATATTAGAGGATTGAGAGATTTACATAGCACCATTACATCACTGGAGTATTCGAAGTGTAATTTTTAAATTTACCTCTACTGGTGAGTTTAATACTTTCATGTGTTTTCTACATGCTGAATCAGCTCTCATTTTCAACTGTAGCACTCTCTTAAGCATTTTATTGCAAGGCTGGTCTATTGGCAATGAATTCCCTTCACTTCTGTTTGTTTGGGAAGGTCTTTATTTCTCAAAAATAGGTTTGCTGGATATAGTATTGTTGACTGACAGCTTTTTTCTTTCAGCATCTTGAAGATATCTTTCCAATCTCTTCTGGTATGCAGGGTTTCTGCTAAGAAATCTGCCAATAGTCTAATAGTGGTTCCTTATATGTGACTTAACATTTTTTTCTTGCAACTTTGCTGTCTTTGTCTTTGTTTTTGTCTTTTTATTTCGATGTGCCTCAGAGAGGATCACTTTTATTGAATTTAAATTGGGATTCTCCAGCTTCCTGGGTCTGGATGTTATATCTTTTCTCATACTTAGAAACTTTTCAGCTATTGTTTTATTAAATAGGCTTTCTGTGCCTTTCTCCATATCTTCTTTCCCAACACTCCTAAATGTAAATATTTATTCACTTAATAGTGTCCCGTAAGCTCTGTAGGCTTTCTTCATTCTTTTTTGCTATTATTTCTTTATTTTCACATTGACTGGATTATTTCGAAAGATCTCAATTGTATTTTACTGATAATATAACTTTTAAGTAGCATAGCCAGGATATAAACCTAGATACTGGAAATTTGTCTATGAAAGTTGAATATGTATATTACACAACCAGCATGTACACCAAAATACATGTGTAGGTATATTCATAGTTATGTAATAGCCAAAGAACTAAAACCATCTAAATTGTATCCTTAATAAAGTGGATAAAATGTAGTAGAGTCACAGAATGGTATAATATATAGCAATAAAAATTGATAAATGACAACTAGATACAACATAAGTAAATCTCACAAATGTAAGCAAAAGAAATCAGACAAAATATAATACATACTGAATGATTTTATATATAAAAAGAAGTAACAAACACTCTGCTAGAGTATTCAGGGATGCATGCTTATTTTATAAAACCATAAATGACAGAAAAAATATGATTGCTACAAATCAAAAGAATGATGGCAGTTGAAAAGGAGGAATAGGGCAAGATGAGGTGAGGCCTGAGGAAATAGGTTCTGTAAGAAGAAGTGGTGACCGACTAAGAGGACTGGCAAGTGAAGGAAGATCTTTCTGGAATAAATTTAGGATGTATTTTGAAGGAGTATAGAAACTGAGTAGCTGGATAAAATAGGAAATACTGTACAGTATTGGACCATAGTTTTCTACATGCTGAATCATAGCATGTCTGTTCATATTGTTTTAGTGTCCAAATACTATTGAAAGATTTGGATTCAGAAGTGAGACTTGGCTAAAACTAAGCACATACCTATATCAGACCTTCTCACAGTTTTGCAATTGAGAAGTGAGGGTAGTTATACATTTGCTGATGAAATTTTTCAGTATTTTCTTTTTAACTAAAAAACAAACTTTGGAGGTAGGGGTAAGACTCCCCAGTCTGCTTTCATTCCCCTTTTGTCCCTGTTCTAGCTTCTGGTACTTCCTCCTCATAACTCTTAACAAACCATGTCCCTTTTTTAGTACCCATAAATATAAACTGGTAATGTAATCAAAATACGTAGTATCTTTTTAGTTATAACTTTTCTATGGTAGAGCCTCTAGCTTACTCATTTCTTTCTCCCCATAGTTACTAAACCTGGAATAGCAACAGTTTACTTCATTTTAATTTATTTTCTTGTGGTCAAAGAAGGATATTTGGAAGCAGGGGTTTCATAGTTGATTTCACTCAGGCTCAACTAAATTTTAGCACCAAATTCACATTCCAGATAACCTAAACATTTTTTACTCCTAGTGTAATTATTCAGCACCATTGTGGGTGAACTTCTGAAGGAAATAGACGAACTAGTTAGTCATAGTGTAAAGAAAAATATGTAACTTAAAGCAAGCAGACAAATGCAACTGCTTTGTCTTTTAGAGATAAGTGCAATCATTTCAGGAAAGAAAGTTCTCTTGATGTTGATAGTGCAAAAGTAATCTGGTGATGGAAATAGTCTGAGGAATATATGAAGAAAGAGAGCTTTGAATAGTTAGAAGCAGTAATTGCCTCATTTTGCATGGGGGAAATTTAATTGTAAATTCAAGCTATAAACAGGCAAAAAACATTCCTTCTCTGGAGCAACTGGACAACAACAGAGAAGACACATATAAACATTAGTATTTGGATATTCATTACCCTATACTTGTCATTAGACAGGATACTCGAAAACTCAGTGGCTCAGAGCAGGTAGAACTTTATTATTCTTTCAAAAACAGTTCAGAGTCACAAACCCATTTAGGATGGAAGGCAGTATTGCTCAACATGGTCAGCTAGGGACTAGGGCCTTTTCTCCTTGTTGCTTTAATATCCCCCAGGATGCTGTCCTTCTCAACAAGGCAGAAGCTGGCTCTCAGGCACCCTATCAGCATTTCAGCCCTCAAGAGGAGGAAAGAGGAAGAAGAGAGCAAGAAGCTTTCGTTTTAAAAAAAAAAGTGACAAGCAAGTTGCATTTATTGGGAGGTTGCCCCAAGGGAGGGACTAGTTGAGCAACCCTGTGCCCTTCTGACACTTAAAATGGTAGAAGTGGCTCTATTAAAGTGTAAATAGAGGTTAATACAGGGGAACAATTCTCTGTTACAGTCACAAGTTAATTTAAAATGCCTCACTGTTCCATCATGCTTCAAGTAAACCTGCTGCCAGCAAAATTTGTTCACACACACAGAACTTTAAATAAGATTATGTGGGCCCTTCTCTTAAAGAACAACTGCCGACCAATGATTATTAACAGAGGTTTGCAGGGAGCAAAATCATACTTCTCTATTGCAAAATAGCTCCATAGAGACAATAATGAGTCTAGGTAGAAAGAATAGGATTACTATTTTTTTAAAGACAGAAAATATACTTTTTTAATTCTTGGAAAAATGTTACAAAGTGTTCTTAAAAGAAATTGAAAAATTCAGCAAACACATATGAAGTCAAGGGAATCTCCAAAAAAGTGTTTGAAGACTGAGGGTAAGAATGAAGACAGAAAACATAACTAAATCCAATGATTAACAAGGAGGTTCAATATCAAATGAGTTTGGTTTCCATGAAGAGAGAAAACAGTGAAGAAATATTATTGAAAACATTTTATAAGAAAATTTCTCAGAATAAAAGAACATGAGTTCTTTTATTGAAAGAGCCCACCAAGAATTAGCTTAAGAAATGAAAATAAATCATACAGCAAAGAATACCAATGTGATATTTTAGAACATCATGAGTAAAGATGGTATCCTAAAAGCTCCCAGAGTTGGAGAAAAATCAGTCAGAAATCAGGATGTCTTCTGACTTCTCAATAGCTGTATGAAGTATATTAAAACAATAGATAAATTCCTTTAAAATAAGAAAAATTATACTTTATCCAGCCTGCTGTGCCCAGACAAACTATCAATCAAGTGTGACGATAATGACAGTTTCAAGAATACAGGAGTTCACTCAATTGTTTACTTCCTATACTGTACATCATTTCTTAGGCAGTCCCTGGAGGATATGCTCCAGTAAAATGAGGAAATAAGAAAGAGAACATGAGTAAATAAAGCAAAGACGGGGCGGGAAGGCGAGCCTACAGATCTGAGTGTCCATTGCTCCTTGTAGTGTGTAGCAGAGCCTGCCAATGTCCTGTCAGTATCACCAGGGGGCTGCCACTTCAGCACACTCAAAACAATTTCCAACTGCCAATATCTGTTTCCTTTTACCTGGGCTTTCCCCACAAACATAAAAGGCTACTATGATTTGCACTTAGCAGGATAAACTGAAGATAACACCTTGCAGAAGCAGACCTCAATTAACAACTGATGGAAATATTGTATAAATATCCCAGCTCCCTACCCTTAGGTATGATTACTCTGAGGTGCAAGTTTACCATCTTTACCAGGTTCCCTTGGGATGAGGCTTTGGTCATCCTAACTAGTTTACTAACATATCCTTTTTGGGTTGCCTTTCCTTTCACATTTCACTGCCTTTCTCTCCTCTGGTGTTTCCTGTACCTCCTAAGCAAATGACCTACACTTTAATTCTTGTTTCAAGGTATGTTTCTAGGGCTCTGGGAGAAAGGTACATAGGAATAAGAAAGGAATTGGTAAAGCACATGATATCTCAACATTTGGAATACATTTGATAGACTGAAAAATCTCTTGGAGCATTTAGGAGGAAATGTAAATAGAAATATAGAAAACAAAACAAGCAAGCAAGCAAATAATATTACTGGAAAAGGAGATTATAGACCACAAATTAAAACAAAAGAAAGGAAGCATGCTCACAAAACGCTATTTGGTATATTGCATAGTCATAACATATAAAAGTTATTGATGCAACCAAAATTATGCAATAATCATATTCAAAGAAAAAAGAAAAGCAGGTGGTATATTAGAAAATGATTAAATATTTGTCTGTAATCAATAGATAACAGCTAAAATGAATAACAAGAAAAATAGAAAAAACATATTGTCTTAAACTATGAAGATAAATATCAGAAAAAAATTGCAAGATATGACAATGGCTCCCTAGGAGCAGGAAAAGGCAATTGTATGCACTGGATAATACGCTAATTTGTTAAACATGAATATATCTTAATTTTAAATATAAATAAAGGTCAAGAAATAGATGCATTTCTAACATGGCATGTACAAATTTAAAATCTTAAATGTGAAACTTAAATTTAAAATGGAAAGAGAAAAATGGATAATATAATGGAGGTAAGCTATCTATACCTACCTTTATTGTTTCAATATTTGTTAGAACATGTATGTATTTATTTCAAATAATTTTTGAAAGAGATTTAAATAAAAGGATAAACTAAAGAATGGAAGCATAATTTAAATCTATGTGAAAATAAGTCAACATTACTCCGTTATATTAGTAAAGAATGGTAAGAAAGGAAAAATAAAGGGCCAGTATTATAAACCTCAACTATTTCTTCGGTATACTCTTAAAGACTGAGACTTGGGGTGAATAACTCTGTTTAAACACATTAATAACATGAAAATATAAGCATACATAATTACCTATTCTTATCCACGCATAAAATGGCGTGGAAGGTGACTTTTTGGATAGTGGGAATTTTAATTTTATTTATGAAATTAGTTCATTTGTGGTTGGTGGAATAGAAGATCCTCAGCACTACTCCTCCCCATAAAAGTACAACTAGCAACTGTTAAAAGACAAGAACACCACCTTGAACTCACCAGAACCTGGGGGAAAAGAGGAGAAAGCCCCTACAACAAAACCACAACTGGTAACGGAAACGGCCATTTACAGACTGTGCCACCCTCTCCCCTAAGCTGGCATAACTGCCACTCACGGAGAATTTCCTGAGACCCACAGTTTCCAAGGTGGGAGGAGGGAACTGGAAGTGGACATTTGATCTCCCCACTGGTCTGGGAATTTTCATGGGAAGTCCACAGCAGTCCTGTCCCACAGGAAGCACTGGGAATGCCAGGAGGGCTGAACCACCTGGGGTGAATTGAAGACAAGTGGGGGGAAGGGGTGCTTATCACAGGGACTGACATGTGGATCTTGGTGTCTACACTGCATTTCCATCAGCTGGGCATCACGCAGAGGAGACTGGACAGTGCCATAGTGCTTCATGGGATACAATCCATGGGAAGGCCTGAGTCCCTGATCAGATTTCCCACACAGCCTGGATGCTTACATGGAACTTTCCCCTGACCTGGAAGCAACTGAAAGGTCAGTGATGAAGTTCTGGTGCTCTCTTACGTCTTCCCCAGACCTGGAAACCACTGCAGGTCTGTGTTTAAGTTCCTGTGAATGATATAAGTTCTTGTGCTCACACTAATTCTTCCCCAGACTGGGAAACAATGAAAGGGCAATGATTTAGTTCCAGGGTAGTGTTCAAGTTCTGGTGCTCAATATAAGTCCTTCCCAGAATGGGAAGCAACTACAGGCCAGAAAGTTAAGTTATAACGTTAAGCAGTAAAAGTCTAACATCACCAAAGAACACCTGCAAAAGCTGGAGAAGGTGGCCATCTCTTAAATGCACAAGCATCAATGTAAAGACACTTGATTGGAAAAAATCGTGGACAAAAACCAACAAAGCTCCAGCAATAGACCCTGAAGAATTAAAGATCTGTGAACTGTCTGACAAATAATTAATAATAATCCTCTTTTAAAAGCCCAGGAAATCACAAAAGTTATGGATAGAAAATTAAATAAAATTTAGAAAACAGACCAGAACAAAATAAGAAATTTGACAAATAAATATGAATAATTTTTGGTTTTTGTTTGTTTTTTAGAGATGGGGGTCTCACTTTTTCATCCAGCTTGGAGTGCAGTGGTATGATCATAGCTCAATGCCATCTCGAATTCCTGGTCTCAAGTGATCCTCCAGTCTCAGCCTCCAAAGTGGCTGCTACAGGCACATGCCACAATGCCTGGCTAATTTTTAAGTTTTTTGTGGAAACAAGGCTTCCCTATATTGCTCAGGCTGGCCTCAAATTCCTGGGCTTAAGTGATCCTCCCCCTTTGCCCTCTCAAAGCACTGGGATTACAGGCATGAGCCACCAGGCCCAGGCTAGGAACAACTTTTAAAAACCAAATAGAAATTCTAGAAATAAAGGATGAAATAACTTACTTAACTGAAAAACTCAACAGAAAGCTTCAGCGGCAGACCTGATCAAACAGAAGAAAGAATCAATAAGCCTGGCCCTTATGCCTATAATCCCAGCACTTTGGGAGGCCAAGATAAGAGGATTGCTTTAAGCCAGGAGTTTGAGACCAGCCTGGGCAATATAATAAGACTCCTTGTCTCTTAAGAAAAAAATCCAGGCATGGTAGTGCATGCCTATAGGCCTAGCTCCTCAGGAGGCTGAAATGGGAGACTTGTTTAAGCTCAGGGGTTCAAGGTTACAGTGACCTATGATTGCACCACTGTGCTCTAGCCTGAGTAACAGGAAAAACAAAAACAAAAACAAAAAACACACAAATTCAGCAAACTCAAATACAGAACATATGAAATTAACCAATCAGAGGACAAAAAGAAAAAAAAGAATAAAATGCTTTGCAGAAGGCCTATGAGAATTATGGGACTCTATCAAACTAACCTCTGCGTAATAGGAGATTCCAAGGAGACAAGAGACAAAAAGGCCTAGAAAGAATATTTAACCAAATAATGGCTGAAAATCCCCAAATCTGGGGAAAGATTATAGCATTCAGGTACGTGGAGCTCAGAGGTCACCAATCCACTTCAACCCGAAGAGGAATTCTTTCCCAAGGCACATCATAATGAAATTATCAAATGCCAGACATAGAAAGAATACTGAAAACAGCAAGAAAAAAGAAATACGTCACATTAAACAGAGCCCTAATACAGCTTTCAGATTTCTCATCAGAAACTCTGCAGGCCAAGAGAGAGTAGAAGGGTATATTCAAAGTACTGAATTTTAAAAAGTCCAACATGAATATGAGTACCCAGCAAAGCTAACTTTACATAGGAAGGAGAGATAACAACTTACCTGGACAAACAAAATTTGAGGAAATTCAAGACCAGATTTGTTTTAAGATAAATGTTAAAGAGAGCTCTTTAATCTGAAAGAAAAGGACACTAATGTGTTAGAAGAAAACATCTGGAAGTATAAAACATATTGGTAAAAGTAAGTATACACACACATTTAGAATAATGTTGTAACTGTAGCAACTCAATTACTTATATCTTTAGCATGAAGACTGAAAAACAAACTATTACAAATAATAACTATAACAATAGAGATAGGCAATATAAAAAGATGCAAATAGAAACATCAAAATGTGGGGAAGAGTGATATTAAAGAATAGTTTGTTTTTGCTTCCACTCTTTTCTTTGTGATCAAAGTTAAACTGTTGTCAGTTTAAAATAAACTGTTATGGCTATAACATTTTTATAAGCCTTAAGGAAACCACAAAGCAAAAACTTATAGTAGATACATTAAAAAATAAATATCAACAACCACTGTGGAAGACAGTGTGGTGATTCCTCAAAGACCTAGAACCAGAAATACCATTTGACCCAACAATCCCATTACTGGGTATATACCCAAAAGAATATAAATCATTCTATTATAAAGATACATGCATGTGTATGTTTATGGCAGCACTATTCACAGTGGCAAAGACATGGAATCAACCCAAATGTCCATCAAGTATTGACTGGATAAAGAAAATGTGGTACATATACACAATGGAATACTATGCAGCCATAAAAAGGAATGAGCTCATGTTCTTTGCAGGGATATGGATGGAGCTAGAAGCCACTATCCTCAGCAAACTAACACAGGAACAGAAAACCAAACACCACATATTCTCACTTATAAGTGAGAGCTACACAATGAGAACACATGGACACAGGGAGGGGAACAATACACTAGGGCCTTTCAGAGGGCAAGGCAAGGGAGAGCATCAGGATAAGTAGCTAATGCATTCAGGGCTTAATACCTAGGTGATGGGTTGATAGGTGCAGCAAACCACCATGGCGCACATTTAAATGTGTAACAAAACTGCATGTCCTGCACATGTAACCCAGAACTTAAAATAAAATTTAAAAGACTTTTAAAATAAATAAATAGCATGAAATCAAAACAGGGTACTAGAGACAATTACTTAACTATGAAAGAAGAGAGTAAGAGAGGAACAAAGAAAGAAACACTCCACACACACACAAAAAAAACACGCACACAGAAAATAAGCAACAAAATGGTAATAGTATGTCTTTAGCTGCCAGTAATAATCTTGAGTGTGAATGGATTAAATTCTCCTATTGAAAGACATGGAATGGCCGAATGGATTTTAGAAAACAAGACTCAGCTACATGCTGTCCTCAAGAAGCTCATTTCACCCATAAAGACATGCATACGCTTAGTATGAAAGGATGGAGAAAGATAACCAATGCGAAAAATAACCCAAAAAAGCAGGAGTAGATATACTTAGATCAAATAGACTTTAGATCAAAAACAATTTTTTAAAAGAAGATCATTTTGTAATAAATGTAATGATAAAGAAATCAATACAGCAAAAAGATATAACAATTGTGTTTGTGCATGTATTTATGTATGTATATACCCACCAGACCAGAGTATCTTAATATATAAAGCAAATATTAATAGACTTAAAGAAAGAGATTGACTGCAATACAACAATACTAAAAGATTTCAACATCCCACTTTCAGCAATGAACAGATCATCCTGACAGTCAACCAACAAAGAAACTTTGGAGTTAAACTATACTCTATCAAAGGAACAAATTGACATTTACGGAACATTTCATCTAACAGCTGCAGAAACACATTTTCTCATTATCACATGAAATATTCTCCAGGATAGACCCTATGTTAGCCCATAAAACAAGTCACAATAAATTTTTAGAAATCAAAATTATATCAAGTACCTAAAACCAAAAAAGGCCATAAGACATAAGCCCACTGCTAATACCATTCTAAATGGGGAAAATTTGAAGGCCTTTCTTCTAAGATCTAGAAAAAAACAAAGATGCCCAGTTTCACCACTTTTATTCCACATAGTACTGGAAATCCTAGCCTGAGCAATTAGACAAGAAAAGGGGGGAAGAAAGGGCATTCAGCTTGGAAAGGGAGAAGTCAAATTGTCCCTGTTTGTAGATGACACTATCCCATATTTAGAAAAACATAAACGCTCTATCAAAAAACTGTTAGAATTGATAAATGAAGTCAGTAAAATTGCAATATTCAACATTAACACAAAAAAGTTACTGATGTTCCTGTAAGCCAATAGAGACTGGCCAATGCCATAGTGCTCAGTCAACAGATAGAACCATGCAGAAAAGACAACTATAGAAGATACCATTTGTACCCTGGCCATATGCCCTTGACCTACTCTAGAGGTTACTGCAAATGGTCCCATAGGTGTCATTGGCTACCCATGTCTCTCTGCCTGAAGGTGACCCCCATCCTTGAAGCTTGCTTAGCCAGCCAACAGTGTGGATCCCTTGGGTCTGGGAGCCATTGCTACCTAGAGCAAAACTTCATCAGTGAGAGAAGAGAATAGGCAGATAAATACCCAGGTCTTCATCCTGAGGAGCACAACTCAGAGCTGGGTTCTACATGCTCTCAGATGCTGCCAGCGTGATTGAGTCCTGGTTGGCAATGCAATAACCCCCTCAACAATGTTTCCTCATGGGCTTTCCTCCCTTCCCCATCTTACTGGCCACTCACTCACAGTGTTTTTTGGAGCCACTTTCCAGGGAATCTAGTTGCTCACAAATTCTTGGATCGGAGAAATTAAAAAATAAACATTAAACCAAGAAATTCCTAGTAGCCTAATAGGTAATGGCTTTTAAGATCATGGATAGATACCTTCTATGTTAAGTGAATGTCTTAGTCTATTTTCTGTTGCTTATAACAGAACACCTGAAACTGAGTAATTTATAAACAATTGGTAAAAAATTTTTTTTTATAATTCTCAAGTCTGGGATATCTGAGGTCATGGCTCAGCATCTGGTGAGGGCTTTCTTCTTGTTGGGGACTCTGCAGGGTCCCAAGGCGGCACAGGGCATTACATGGTGAGGGGGCTGAGCGTACTAACTCAGACCTCTCCTCTTCTTATAAAGCCACAAGTTCCACTTCTGTAATAACAGCTGCAGAACACATTCTTCTCATTAGCATATGAAAGAGTCATCCTTGAATGGTTTAATCCATTTATCCGGACAGAACCCTCACGAACCA